AACGTGGAGACTTGGCATTTTAGACTTGGATCTTAGAATCTGAAAGGCATTTGGTAGAATAAGTAATACTTCGAGAGGAGGTTTTTATTTAAATTACAGTGAGGATTGGGTTGTCGGAAAAGTCATGACGCATTTTTGCAATGAAAAACCTAGAAAATATACGTCATGACTTTTCCGACAACCCAACAGATTAACTTTAGGGTCAGTGAGACTAGTTGGAATGGACTTAGCGTGTAATAACATGTAACAGACTAGAGACTCATAGTCCATAACTAATTATTTTAGATCATTTCAGACACATTTGAATTGGTTCATTGTGATAAGAGATTCTCGAAAGGTAATATCAATTACCATGTTCCTTTTAGAGATTCTGCTGGGTCATCTATTTGTGGTAAGGATCATCATGATCCATTAGGTGTGTGTTTACTTAGGGGGCATAAAAATGTAAAGATTATTACCTAAGACTAATGGCATCCTTCTCTACAGTCCTTTGTAATTTACAAGGCACTTTTATAGGCTGTGTTCCATCCAGTACCATGATGATGGTAAGTGGCTTTGTTCAAGGTCGTAGAACTAGTGAGATGTAAGACGCAAGACTTAATTGTGGCTTCTTTATTCTGAGGGCATTTGTTCTTCTCATATGCAAATCTTGGGTAAAGAAAAACATCTGATTTATTAATGTTTTATATATTTTTATACAGTTACTATTTATAACATCGAAATGGAGGCAACCTTAAAAAAATCTATTAGAATTACAACTGAGGCCTAGAACATATTTAATCTCACCTTTTTTTAAATTTATTTTTTATTATTTTACTTTTTTTTTTTTAAATTTTAGGAAAGAGAACGCTGCCCCTGCAACCAATTATTTGAGTCCCAAGGTTGACAAACTTTGCTTGTAAAAGGCCTTGTAAAAGGTAGTAAATATTAGGCGTTGCAAGGCCATGTGGTCGCTGTTACAATTCATCAACTTTGCTGTTTTAGTATAAAAGCAGCTGTAGATAAGATGAAAATGAATGTGCATGCCTGAGTTCCAATACAACTTAATTTATGGAGGCTGAAATTTGAATTTCATGTAATTTTCATGGGTTACAAAATAGTCTTTTGATTTTCAACTATTTAAAAAGGTAAAAGCGATTTTCAGCCCGTAGGCCATATCAAAACAGGTGGCAGGCTGGACTTGGCCTAAAGACTAGTTTGCCACCCACTGTTCTCAATAGGAAAGGAGAGGAACCTTAACGCTTGGCTGGGATAGCGAAGGAGGAAAAGCGATGGTCTGACACACTTTAGTTGATGATTCTGTGGTTAAGAATGAGGTGGCTGGTTCCTCCCAATAATACCTTTTTGCCTTTACATTTTCCACTTATTTTAGTCAAAATGTGGTGGCTTTGCTTCAAGTCTGTATCTCCTAGTGAGAAATCCTATGACTAGTGATTATGTGGTTTAAACAAATTACAGGGATACATTCAGTGTGGACTGAAAGACGTTTTGATTTGTTCTCTGATTGCTTCTGGTGTGCAAATCATGTCCCGTAGTTTTTCTCCATGTGAGGTGAAGCTCTGTGTGAACTGGTGTATCTCCCCCACAGCCTGTAGCCTGGAGCTAAATAATCAATCAGCATTACATATTTGTTATTAATGGGTGAGAAGACAACTAAAAATCCTGTTCCTACTAAACTGATTTTAAGAGGAGCTAAAGTGACACTCTTAGCACACGAAAAAGTAAATACTATTAGATCCATGAACAGACATGCTTTTACACTTCCATAGATTCTGGCTTTCTAGCTGGCCTATTCAATCACCAAATACATCCAAAAATTGAACTTCAGAAAGCTCTTTAATCCCACTGCAACAAACCCCTTTCCAAGGCATTTCTCAGAGCTTTCCCTTCTGACACAGTTCAACACGCTCTCTCTCAGAGAACTCCTGGTCCTTTGCTGTTGGAAACTGGGGAGGGGCAGGGCCAATTTAAATACACGGAGCCTCAGAAGTCTGGTTCAAGTCTAGTCATTTCTAAGGGGCAGTTCCCTTGGTCTGCTTATGCTCACAAGCAGGCGGAGTTACTTGAACATTAATTCTAGATTGCCCCCTTCCTGTTGTTTTTAGACTTATTTTAGCTTTCTGGTTTTACCTTTCCCAGCTTGAGTCAACACAGGTGGGTGTGGTCAGGAACTCAGGATGTTGGACTCTAAAGGTGGACTGAACGTCTGCCTTCACTTTCTCTGCCTTCCTCACAGGCCTGCCCGCCCTGGAGCCACATACAAATTAGTGAGAGACGGGGTATAGCAGAGGCAAAACATCACTTTGGAGGAATTTCTTTAGGCTTCTGAGGCTTCAGATGCTTGGGTACAAATCTAAGTGTTAGTAAAATCCTATTTTCTACAGTGAAAACCTAATGCCTCGCTGCTGTCTAATTTTTTTTTCCCCTCTCTAAAATAGACCATGCTGGACCAAAATAGAATGCCAAAAAATAAATAAGTAAATAAACAAATAAATTAGTACATAGGTTTTTATTTAGAAAATGGATACTTCTAAATAAGTTAAATAAAATAAAGAATTCAGAAGTTAACCCTAAAATTGATATAATTAGTTAAATCCAGAGAGGTGATAACTTCATTTTTTATAACTGGATATTCCATACGCTCCAATAATGCATTTAAACTGCTGTTTTCACCAACATATTCTCTCTCTCTCTCTCTCTCTCTCTCTCTTTCTCTCTCTCTCTCTCTCTCTCTCTATATATATATATGTGTGTGTGTATATACGTATATATACACATATATACGTATATATACATATATATGTATACATATATACATATACATATACATATATATGTATATATATATACACACTTTTAAAACATCATAAATTTATTATTTTTAAATTTTTCTTTTCTATATTACCCCATTATAGAAAGATTCAAATGTTTTTTTTAAATTTTTATTAATTTCAGGTGTACAAAACAACCTAGTGATTAGACATTTACATACCTCACAAAATGATAGCCCTAATAAGTCTATTACCCATCTGGCACTGTATATAGTTATTACAATATTATTGACTATATTCCCCATACTGTACTTTATATCCCTGTAACTATTTGTTTTAAAATTATAGCTGACATTCAATATTATTTTATGTTAGTTTCAGTGTACATATTAATTTATTTTTTTCAGAAAAAGTAGCTATTAAACATTTTAAAAAACATTGAGATTCCCTGGCTAATTACGTGAGAGACTCATGATATATATCTCTGTATCTCCATATATATATGTGTGTGTGTGTATAGTATATAAATATAAATAAGCCCTTCAACTCTGAGAGTTTCTTCTACAAATTACTTTCTTAGTTTTTTATTATCATTTAAAACTGGTATATTAAATCCCTACTATTTGTATAAAGTAGTTTGAGAACTGTAAAGATAATTACTTTTGATATAAATAAATAGGATAAATCTGGATTAAATCCACCCAGTATAGCCAGACTTGATGGCAAATAATGAAAATTGCAGATAACACCCCAGTCTCTGCCAATCATGTCATTTACTGTTTCCATGGTGATATGAAACTGGTTCATTACATGTCAACTTTGATCACTTTATATCTACTAGGGCCTTGCTGCATTCCCCAGAAAAGAAGACTATTATGTCTTATTAGTATCAGTCAGGGATAGAGAGGTGGTAGTACTTTTCCTCCTTCTGATTTCTTTGACCACGTGGAAGAACCTCCATCCACAACTACAGCTCACCTGTGGGAAAGGTACTAGCCCTTCCCAGCTGTCTCCCTTCTCCCTAACAAGTGGCTTAATCTGACTGATGAGTATGGAAGGGGTAAGGGGTAGCCCGGCTCCTGCTTCCTGCTGGGACTGGGCTACCACCAAGGTGCAGACATCTGTCATATTTCTGCAGGAAGAGGCTGGCCCCCCCTTGATGCTGTTTAGAATTGATAACTAGCTAACACTGGGGAACATAATTATGAAGCCCGCTACTCTACAGAAATAAGCCCTATTCTCCACAACAACTTTATGAGTCTATTTTGTGATATTTTGTTTTTCTCATCATCTCCCTTATTCTATTTCATTTTCCAATTGGATCAGACATCAGATTGGAAAGAAAAGTACTATTTATCACCTTGTCCCATTGGGCCTCCAATGGAAATGCCTGTCGCGGGTTCGTGGATCTAGACTAATCTGAATAATTTTCTTGAAGTCCTGGTTGGTTTGGTTTCAGAATTGCTTTTTTTGACCCATATAAGGATTGTTATCAAGAACAACCATTAGCATTTCTAGAACGGCTTCGGATAATTTATATCTGCTTTTAAATCCAAAGGGCTAGATGACTACTTAATGCTCTAGAATAAAACCATGGTCTGAGGGTCCTGCTAGCTCCCTTTCTGATGCAATGTCATCTGCCATGCCCAGGTCATAGGTCATAGGGAAATCTTAATTCAGAATTATAAAGCCAGCTGTAGGAGAATTTTCTGGTTTTTATTCATCATATTAAAATGGGGAGTGGGGATAACTTTTAAATATACCTCCTTTTTAATACTGTTACAGGAGTTTTTCTATCATTATTCAGGCCTGAAGGACAAGTTGCCTAGAAGCCTCAATTTAAGCTAATTGAAAAAAAAAAATCTAGGGTGACCAAAACAAGGTGTTTTCCAAATCCTGGAAAACTGGGATGTTACTGCAACATGAGATTGGGAACATCCGTGGCAAACCGCGACAAGCTGGTCACCCTACAAGACATATACCTAGCACAGACCTTCCATCACTTCAGCTGTTCTCTCCATTAATGTCATGAACTTACATAGTGAGCTTGCTGTAAACAAGCTCTTTGTATTGGCCATGATATAACAAACTGTCATCCCTGTGATATTTGCTTATGGAGGCTTTGTGACACTAAGGCTGAAGGCATAAGGCACATGCCCAATTTTGACTGTACAGAGCAGACTCAGTTCTCCCTTTCCTTTAGCTCATTTTCTACTTTCTTCTTTGCAGGTTTGTGACTCAGACACCATGCTCGACCCAGCCTCATCTGTGGAGATGGTAAAAGTTTTGGAAGAGGATCCCATGGTTGGAGGTGTTGGTGGAGACGTCCAGGTGTGTATGGCTTCACTTTTTGCATGAGTCACTTTTAGTAGCACTCTTGCTCATTGATTCAATGAACATATATTTACTACCTACCAAATGCTGTGTCAGGAATCGTTTTTGATGTTAGAGATACATGTGAATGTGACTCGGGCCCACTTTACTGCCTTTTTTTTGTCAAACTGAAATAACTTAGGATGTCTTTGCTTATCCTGGGATATAACCCATGTCTGTAGTGCCTGATATGCTATATACAACATAATGTAAATGTATAATGATTTCCACCAGATCTTCTTGAGCCATAACTTAATATTCTGAAAGAATCTGATGTTGGAGTTCATTTAGTTGCAAATGAATTAAAGTATGGCAGGAAACAAATTCTATATCTTAAACCTCTGCATTTAAAAGCTGACCAATATACGGTTGATAAAAACTCCAAATTGGAAAACAAAGGGAGCAAAGAGAAACAGCAACTCAAATTTATACTGAGAAAGGCAAAGACACAATTAATTAAAAAGTGGGCTTTCCAATTAATATTTATTTTCCACCAATTATTACTTATTTCCCATTATTTGCTATCGATGGAGAAACAATTAGTGAAGCAAATATTAATGAAGGCAATTTGAAATTTGTGGAATGAGAAACTGAATATGTGAAAATATGTGATTACTAAAGTGAGTCCTTTGCAAGTGTGAGATCAGATTTTAGCCAAAGGTGAAAAGCACATTGAAATTTTGCTCTATGATGCATTTTATATATGCATGTTGATAGTAAAGGCAAAGAAAATACACTACAATGGACAAAAAATAGTCTTGTGATAAAAAGGAAACATGCAAAATCCAGGTGAACACTGAACAAAATTGAAACAGAAAAGAATTTAGAAATATTGCCAAGAAAAAGCTGATAAGTTTGAATATCCTTTACACAGAGCATTATTTCAGGATTCAATTTTTTGCGGGAGGCCAGAGAAAATCCTTTTATCACTAGCATTACAAAAAAGTGGGGAGGAGGAGGAACATTTGTAGCCAAGGGTTGGGTGAGTTGAGAATGAACCAGAACAGGAGGCAACAGGTCTTAAAACCTTCAGATCTTAGATGGTAGAAAAGAGTGTCTGGGGAGAAGAATTTAGGAACTGAAAACTAAAGCCTAACAAAAAACAAAACAAAACAAAATAAAAAATAAACCTCAGTATTAGAACAAGAACAAGAACAGAAAGCATAGCAAAAAAGAAGACAGAGAGCGATGAAGCAGAAGAAAATACCAGAGTCCCAACACATACACACAACGTATCAAATTAATCTATTGGGTTTTTGGGAAAGTCATGACGTATTTTTCTATGTTTTTCAATGCAAAAATGCATCACGACTTTCCTGACGACCCAATAGTAATATAGGATCAGAGAAAATAAAATATAATCACATCTAAAGGAAGAAGGACGCCAAAGTAAGAGGCCAAAATAACAAACCTGTAGATAGTAAGTAACCTCACAATAGTACAGATTGTGTTGGTATTTTAAGCCAAGGTTTATCTTTTATTTACTTATTTTTTTTCCCTTTTTGCAGATTTTAAACAAGTATGATTCCTGGATCTCCTTCCTCAGCAGTGTGAGATACTGGATGGCTTTCAACATAGAAAGGGCCTGTCAGTCTTATTTCGGCTGTGTCCAGTGCATTAGCGGGCCTCTGGGGATGTACAGAAACTCCTTGCTGCATGAATTTGTGGAAGACTGGTACAATCAGGAATTTATGGGCAGCCAATGCAGTTTTGGTGATGACCGGCATCTAACGAACCGAGTGCTGAGTCTGGGCTATGCCACAAAATACACCGCTCGATCCAAGTGCCTTACGGAAACGCCCGTAGAATATCTCAGATGGTTAAACCAACAGACCCGTTGGAGCAAGTCGTACTTCCGAGAGTGGCTGTACAATGCGATGTGGTTTCATAAACATCACTTGTGGATGACCTACGAAGCGGTTATCACCGGATTCTTCCCTTTCTTTCTCATCGCCACAGTGATCCAGCTCTTCTACCGGGGCAAGATTTGGAACATCCTCCTCTTCTTGTTAACTGTCCAGTTGGTAGGTCTCATAAAGTCATCCTTTGCCAGCTGCCTTAGAGGAAACATCGTCATGGTCTTCATGTCCCTCTACTCAGTGTTGTACATGTCAAGTTTACTGCCCGCTAAGATGTTTGCAATTGCAACGATAAACAAAGCTGGGTGGGGCACATCTGGAAGGAAAACTATTGTTGTGAATTTCATAGGACTCATTCCAGTATCAGTTTGGTTTACAATCCTCCTGGGTGGTGTGATTTTCACCATTTATAAGGAATCTAAAAAGCCATTCTCAGAATCCAAACAGACAGTTCTCATTGTTGGAACGTTGCTCTACGTATGCTATTGGGTCATGCTTTTGACTCTGTATGTGGTTCTCATCAGTAAATGTGGCAGGCGGAAGAAGGGACAACAGTATGATATGGTGCTTGATGTATGATCTTACGCTGTTTGACATTTGCAATCACATATGCAGACAAAACCTGAGTTCCTCTAGGGACTGTACCATATTGTGGCATCAGAGAATGCCACCAAAGGAGACATATCACTGCTGCTGGGACTTGAACTAAGACATTTCTATGGGTTTATTATGATTCTGCCAAAGTAAAATGATACACCAACAAGAAGAAACTCAGATTTAACTTGTTATTTCTATGAAAATGGGAAGAATTCTTTGTTTATGCACTTTTTCCTTACTGTACATCTGCCTAACAGTGTTTTTGCCCTATATACCTCACTAGCCATGCTTTATGTGGGTTATCATGGAAGAAAAGGATATTGGAAACTCAAGGAAAAGTTCTTTCAACATATACAACCTAACTTATGGACTGTGTTGATAGCTAATTTTTTTTTTAAAGGATTTTCTGTTTAACTCTACCAAATGAAATGCCAAAGGAAATTTTAAAGGCCGTTGGCTGTGCTGTATTTTTATATAATTGTACTGTGTTTTAAAATTTTGTATGCCAATTTTTAAAACAAATTCTGCATATTCTATATTTTACTTCTCTGCCAAAATACACCTGTTCTTCCTTTTTAAAAAAATAAAATAGGTTCTAAAAAAATTCAAACTTATAAAAAAAACAAAAACCTACCCAAAATGTGAAGCTTGGTTGACTGATGTTCATGATAGAAAGAATAAACTGTTTCTCTCTCTCTCTACCGTTCAAAATCGAATAGTTTATTTCTGTGAAAAAGTATTTAAACATTCAATATTTTAACTTTTTTTTTTCATTTTTTTTTAGAAAAGGCCAATATACCTGTCACACTTTGAGAGTAAAAATACATACTTATATGTACAAAAAAAGTAAATCATTGAAAATCAAGGCCAAAGGGGTAGAAAAGTGCAATTTTTCCATAAGATTAATAAAAGGGAGTGCTCGTCCTCGAAAGAAAACACTGGGCATCCAGCACTGGACATAACATGTGTATCAAAGATAAATAATCAATGGAGTTTCTGGCAGTGTTTTCCCAGGCTGAGTAAAAAGGAAAATGGAAAAAATTATCTGTATAATTTGGACAAATACATTGTAGTTCATCATTTTGTTCTGGGGCCTGAATTCACCAGTTGTCCCTATGTTGAACATATTTTATACCTGTCTTTCCCTCTCAGTTTGCCAGTTCACTTTACATGTTAGTGTGAGATTTCCATGTTTGCGTTGGATAAATTATAACTACAAAGCCTTTAGATTCAAAATAGCAGATTTCACATTCTATCCTTTTACTTTCTAGGGAGGATTATTTTTTCTGAATTATACAGCTAATTTCTTCATCTCTTCTGTTCTTGGCCTACGTACATATGTTTACATAGTAGAAATAATATCGAGGTCTAATAAGTGTATCAAGAATTGGCACATTAAAAAAAAAAAAAAAGATGAACCAGGTACCTGTAAGTCCAGCTAAGTTCGCCTCTCCAGAGCCTTGGTTATCCAGTTTGACTTTTGACACGACCCATCTTGTCTTGTAGCTGGTGCCGTGCAGACCTGTGTTAAAAACACAATCGAACACATGAGTAGTTGCAGAAAAAGTGTTGTGATGAAGCAGAGTCATGCGGAGAAGTACTGGACTCTGCTTCCGCCTTTCTGCTGCTTCTCCATGCAGACATCCATGTTCCACCTCTCCTGCCTAAGAAAAAGCTGCACATTCTACCTTCGGAATACAAAAAAAAGGTACATAACATTCCGCGACTCTTGCTGATTAGAGAGCTCGTGGAAAACAAACACCATGCCGATAAATGAGACTAAAACTTGAGTTTGCCTTTTTAACTATTTATGTTCTAAGTTAAGCTTTGATAACATTCAAATGTCAAATTCGCTCATTCTTATAAAAGATTGAATTAATTGCCTGTATTTATTTTAGCAATTATTCAATGTATTTCCAGTATAGGATGTATAGTATAATTAATTTTTTTTGTAAATAAAATATTTTTGATAACATGATGGCGTGATTTTCTAAGGGAAGGGGGAATTTCAAACAAAACGAAAACTTTGGTTTCCTTATATATGGATTTAAGAATGGGATACATAGAAAAAAAATAACACATGGTTGGTCAAGAATAACAGTCATTTACTTTTACTAAGAAGGTAGAAGTCTTCAAAATCGGTGTGGTTTGGAAATCCAAAAAATGGAGACAATAGTCTTAACACAATCCTTGTCTCTGATCTGTTTCTACTTTCCTTAAAGGCAGCCAAATTTGGAAAAAATTTGTTTTATTACAGTAATTTATCATAGCTGGAAAAATTCACAGATTTTTCAGAAAATCGTGAGCAAATTTGTTATAGCATTGATAATAAAACCTTAAAATAACAATCCAGTACTGAGGGCAGTAGTTAAATGAATTATGGCATTTCCAAACAATGGAACTTCATCGCTCACTAAACAATGTTCTCAGAGAAGTGTTAACAGTAAAAATATATAACCAATTTGTACAGTAACATCCCAATTTTGTAATGACATGTTTAAATGTGGCTATCTACTATTGGGAATATGACTAATTTATATTCTGTACACATGTTTGACTTTCCAAATGCCATCATCATGTATTGCTTTTATAACCCAAAAAAGGACAATAAAATATTCCTTAATCAAAAGTGGGCTGGGGCATCCAACAGCATTTCCTGGTTTGAGGAGCTTTAATGGTAATTCCATTTTACCACTTATCCCGCGAATTTATCTTATTTCCCAATTCCTTTTACTGGCTCCTAAGAATCCTTCACTACTGTGGTATAGTTACATAATTTATTTATATATAAAGCCACTGAACAGGATTGGTACTCCAGACACTAGAAATACTGATGGTTGTAGTCCCAGTAATTCACTGGTAAAATCACTTGGTGCTGTATTTGAGATAAGCAACCTTCATGTAACGAGCCTCATAATACCCATCGTAGGCTGTCCTGGCCATATGATCTGTCGTGTGACTCCTAAACTCTGCTATCGTAGCACAAAAGAATTCATAGGCAATATGTAAATGTGTGCGGCTGTGTTCCAGTCACACTGGACACTGAGATTTGAATTTTAGATCATTTTCACATTATAAAATATTCTTTTGATATTTTTCAATCATTTAAAAAATTGTAAAACTATTGTTAGTTCATCAGCGTTACCAAAGTGGGTGATGAATTAGATTTGGCCTGCAGGCCAGAGTTTCATGAGCCCTGCTCTTTAGGAATCTATGAGCTTACTTGTACTATTGCACATTGACACCTAATTTTGAGACCATCCCATGTATCAGATATTGCCAGAAGCACATGTTATAGACCCTCTATTTTAGTTCTCATATCAGTCCCATTGGGGTTCCATGATCAGAATTACCATTTTACAGGTGAGGAATCAGACTGAAAGAGCTTTGGTAGCTTGAGATCATAAAGGTAGCAAATTGTGGTGGAGTTAAGTCCAGGCAACCTGATGTCAGACTTAACTCTTTAAACCAGTGCTATGCATTGTACCGGCCACCATCAGCACCAGCTAGGAATTGGTTAGAAATGCAAACTCCTGGCCTGACCCTAAGCCCACTAATCAAAATCTCAGGCCAGTTCCAAGAATATGTGTTTAATAAGATCCCCAGATGACGTTTACCCACATTAAAATTTGAGAAGCATTGCTCTAATCTAGTCTCTTCATATACCCCTCAGACTAAGTACCATTTCTATGATAGCTATCACAGAACAATTCAAATATTTGTATTTTCCTGTTGAAGTTTTCTACTGAGCATCTGTTCATGAGCAAGAAATCAAAGAGGTGTACATTTTCTCTATACTCCAAGGGCTTGTAATTGAGTAAGAGGGTAAGATAATTACACAAACACTAGATGCAAAATGGAATACGAGGGGTATAAAGAGTGGCATGGGGATATACAAAGAAGGAATGAAATGTACAATCAGCACTGTAAAGGTAGACTTCAAGATAGTGTGGGATTAGGGTGTTTCTGTATGGATGAACAAATTTGGATGGGAACTAAGGAACTAAGAGGTGATTTTGATATGCCCTTTAAACAAATGAATACATTTAATTAAGGTGTGTGCTATATTTAGCCAAGAGTTCAGACTTAACTGTAGAAAGTCAATTTGAAGGTGCATCATGAAGACCATATCCAACTGAGAGAAACACTAGAATGAGGAGTTTAAACTAAATTTGATACATCACTGTACATGTAGATATTTTTGAATCATGTACTACCATTACTGGCTCATCCATTATTATAAACAGAACTACTTTATGGTGGTTTGCATTTCAACATTCCGCATAAACACGTTTAGAAATACGATTTGGTTCAAGTGTGCTTATAATCAACTGGGATGGTTCCTCTGGCATTTGACTACTTTCATCAGATTCACTCCAAGCTGCTTCCTGTTTCTTATCCTCAGTTAACGAATGGCATTACCTCCTGCCCGTTGCCCAAACACTATCTTCAGCTTCTTTTACGTGTCATATAACCAGCTAGCCACTACAACCATGTGATTCCACCTTTACCGTGTCACTCAAATTCATCTCTCACCCTCATTAAGACATTCTGTATCTCTTAACGTAAACTGTTCAAAACACCCCCGAAGTGCCTCTCTTTTCTCTATTTCTGTTTCATCCACCAGATTCTCTACATTTCTATCAAAATGATCCTTCGAAGGCTTAACTCTGAGTACAGTCAGCTTTCGGTATCCTTGAGTTCTGCACCTGTGGACTCAACCAACAGGGCTTGAAAATAGTTGAAAAACAATGTTATATTGTTGTTGACATGGACTAACTATGTAGTTAGGCCTACAATGGGTGTGTCTGTATTGAACATGTACAGGCCTTTTTCTTGTCATTATTTCCTAAACAAAACAGGATAACCACTACTTACATAATATTTGCATTATGTTGGATGTTACAAATAATCTAGACATGATTTAAAACATATAGGAGGATATGAGTAGGTTATATGCAAATAGTATGCCATTGAATACAAGGGACTTGGGCATCCTAGGATTTGATATCTTAGGGGGGACTGGGAACTGCCTCCTGGACAACAAGGGATGATTGTACAAAAGTTTAACTTCATCTCATTGTCAACAAGACAAAAGCATTAAATCTTTAAGAACAAATTCAAAGCTGATTATGTCCTCTTTGGTAGGTCTTCATCTGCTGTTTCTCATGGTCTTACTAAACTAGATGTTTTTGCATCCTCTTCCACACATTTTACTCTTCTCCTTTATCTGTGTTCACATTTTGCTTTCAACCTAAAAGGGCTTTTCCCCTCTCCCCACTGCCCAGCTACTTGTCAAAATTCTTTTATATCCTTCATTCAAGATATAACTTTACCACTATCTCCTTCCCCAAATACCTCAATTAAAGAGATCTCTCACTCCCCTTCCCTCTCATACTATTTCATTTTATCTCTGCCATGCAGCCCAGACTTTTTCTTCTGCCATGTGTTATGACTATCAGTGCACTTGATATCCTGGTTAGATGAAAAGGTTTTTGAGCCTGAGGCTATGTTTTCATCATTTCTGAATCTTCCGTGGTGACCAGCATCGCCAGCTGCTTAATAAAATTTGGTGAATAAACAAACAGACACATCGAAGAATAAGGAAGGGAGAATGGACTCAAGCAATGAATCTCCTTTCAGGAAAGTTTATGGCATTCTTGGAGCTTTGCTGCAGGAAAAGCTTTAGGGTGTGAGGCCTCCACTTTCTTTTTGTTTTGGGCAGTGGGCTGATGCCTCTGTCGGCCAGAAAGAGAGTACCCTGGCACTGTGTCCCAAGTTAAGGCATTCATTCAACAAACAGTTTTTGAGTGTGATCCTGTACCAGACTTCGCTGAGATTTAAAAAATAAGAAATTATGCTTCCCTTCAAGGTATTCGTTCAGTTTCTCTAGCAAGTCATGCTCCTACCGTCTCATGGGCATTTCTAAAAGTTCTTGCCCACCCCACTTCCTTCCCACTGTCACCTTTGTCTACGTAACTCTTATCCTACCTTTCAGCCCCCATTCAATCATCACTGGCTCGGGTGCCTTCTACGACTACTGTGACCGGGTTCATTCTTCTACTGCATTCTTTTCAAGAGCACCTTTAACGCTCATGTTTCATTTTCATCTCTGTGACTCCTTGTTCATATCCGTCTCTCTTATTAGAGACTACGCTCCATGGGGAAGGAAATGAGTGAGGATGTGGCAGCACTGCACCCTCTGATCTTAGTACACGCCTTGTCAGTGGGTAGAAGCACAATACAATTGTGTGGACTGAAGAAACGGGTGAGGGAGTGAAACTCCCAGTACAGGCTGAGAAACAGAGTCAGAGTTATATAAAAAAGTCAAACTCCTAGCATTTCATTTATGAATAACTCCTTCACCCCTCGCTATGCTTATTACAAATTGTGATAGGAAGAAAAGGTAGAGATGGCGGAGATTTCATC